TAACGTTTGGCTGCAGACCTAGTTCCTTGTGCAGACCGAACAAATACTTCGCTGCATTATGGTGACTTCCTTCGGCTCGCCAGCAAGCTCGAATGGAAGCTGATATGTGGCCAACATTTATTGCAATGTCACTCTCGTTCATCTCATCCAGAACCTGAGCTGCTGTTTGCACATCTCCTTCTGCGGCGGCTGCGGAAATACGTGCAGCCACAAGTGGGGAATCGAGGTCACACTCTCGCCTTGCACTTGCCCAAATCTCACGAACAGCATGTTCCTGGCCCAGTTTTGAATGAATCTTCAGAGCGCTTGTGAAAGCTGGCGCCGTTTGGTTGATGTTCAGACTGCAAAGCTTTCGGTAGATGCTGGCACCTTGTTTGTATTGTGAACAACGTATAGCTGCATCCATGGCCGCAACAAAAACTTGGATCTCAGCACCACTGTACGCCGAATACAAACGCTGAGCTTGCTGCCAATCACCTCGCTTAACTGCATCAGAAATTGCCGTCACCACACGGGCTCCCGAAGAGCTTATGGGCAAAAACTTTTTCTTTGACGGAATTGCCAAGCCGTCGCGCTCTCGAAGTAGTTTGAGGTTCTTTTGCCTCCCCATTGCCAGGCAGTCTCGACAGACGTGTGGCCAACATACCAGCAGTACAGCAAGAGCTGTCAGCATCCGACATTTGACCGTCATCGTGGCACTGGGCCCCCGGAGGCTGGCAACAAATGACTTGCTCAAACGCCGCTCTCCAGGTTTGTTGGATGCATGAGAGAGCTGCTTGCCAACAAGTGCAAGGGTTTGTCTTGAATAGCATGTAGACTGTCTTTTCGGGTGAATCTATCTTGGAGCAGAAGGCACAGAAGACCCCCTGTCGCCTTCCAGCATGAACAGTGCCGACGTCTGCTGCAACCCTGAAGCCCAACCTGCTAGATCCGAAGCTAGAAAGTCACAGCAGGCAAGCAAGCCGGCACAGGCTAACTGACAGGGGGGTAGCAATGATGGAATGTGAAATACGGCCATGTCTGTGATTGCTGCCCGCAAACATATCGGGCTATCGGCCTGGCATATGCCCTCAAGCTTCCAGCAGGACAGCCTAATGACGTGGGGGGGGGGGGGCTTATCGTCAGTATATCGTAATGGGCGCGTGACTGCGTGTATGTATACATATATACATATATACGTATATGTATATACATAGTTATGTCCATGTGTATTTATAAAACAGTCTCTATCTATCTATCTATCTATCTATATATATATATATATATAGTTATTATATATATATATATATATATATAAGTGTTTACATATTTGCATCTAGTCAGTTATACAATCTTTTATCGACTACAAGGGGATACCATTCCTAAGTATTCCGACCCACACATTATGCGCAGAGGCCCCGGCTAGTCACTTCATCCTGGGTGCTGATAGCACACGGCCTCCGTTCAGGGTTTGACGCTTCCGGCGTGTAGTCGTGGGAAATAGTTTTGGGGCTTTGAGTGGTTTTGTTTCCCGTTTGGGGCAAGTCGGGTAAGTATAGCCGCTGTAGCCATAGCCCTTGGGATTTTAAGGGGCTTCTTGTCTAGCCAAAGCAGATGGCAGCGCATCAGGTGCGCAGCAGTATCCAAAAAACATTCGAGATTCAAGGCATGCAATCACTACTCGTCCCCGAGCACCCTCATAGTATCCAAGCCGACACAGGGAGAGGAACCTTTACAAAGCCTGCAAACCTCTTCCCGTCTCCGCAGCAATAATTACCACAGCCTGCAGTCACCACTTCCGCGCCAACGATACGCAAGCTGAGTATCTTATTCAACAAATTAGTTACCTGTAAGTACACCACGCAGGCTTCGACCTCCGTGGCACCGTCAGCGTAGAGCGCGAAGACGACCACGTGCCATCCTTGCCATGGTCGCGCAAATACGGTCGCATCCCAAAGCCATGGCGAGTATGTCCAGGCTTGCGGGCTTGGGATTGGGGACTACATTTCTGAGTTGCTGGCTTCAGGCTGTATAAGTATGTTTGGGGAACGATGTCGGAGTGTCGAGGGCAACAGCTCGCTCTCTCTCTCTCTCTCTCTCTCTCTCTCTCTCTCTCTCTCTCTCTCTATATATATATATATATATACATATATACATATATATATATATATATATATACATACATAACGCCACGCCAAAACGCTCGCCATGGATCACTAAGGGATATCGATTGGAAATAAGGAATTCTGGGGACAAAAAACAACAACCAACAAAGATGGGATAGTATGGGCCTGCTTGTCTTGGGACCCCTACCAACCCGCCTACACAAACAGCGGATCTGCTCCTTCCGGTCCGCGTCCCTGTCACAATTCTGGTCCGGCGTCTATATTATTACGAGTAAGCCACTTGGTGTTGGAAAGGCAGCATCACGATTGGTGTGACCCTGTTCTGGCAAGGATGCTACTGTTGTGCTCATCCTCTCTTGTTGAGATGTAGCATTAATGCCATTACCAGTTGAAAGAGTGCTCCGTGACTGCTACATACACCTACTTCCTTCTGCGTATTTCCAAACAAACATACATAAGTAAATACATGCATGTCGGCGGGACGGGGCATTTAAACGGGAAGAGGCTGCAAATAAACAGAGCAAAGGTGCGATCGTCGGCCGCGGCGACTGGATCAAGCAAGTGGGATCCTCCCAGGCTCTCAGGAGTTCGAAAACTGTGTTGCTGTAAGTTCTGCCTTGTGATCAAGGAAATCATGCGCCGGCCTTGGGCAGAAAGCCTACGTTTCCGTGAGGTCGACGTGACGGAATCCAACTGCATTGAGGGTCTGATTGTGGATTGCATGGCTGACTGGTAGTGCTTTGTCGAGGTTTTTCTTGGTGATGTTTTGACCCATCGGTCTGGATCGTGCCGTAGGCACGGCAATGCTTGGGGGTATTGAAATGCTGAGAAGAGGTCAGTTATTCGGGCAGAGCTCTCGCACGAAATGCTGCTCGGTCCGTCAGGCTCGATCCTCTTCACCCAAATAAATCCTGAAAGTCTCGTTGCAAGTTGAGCGTTATTAAATTGAGGTGTAACCAAGTGCCGTCAAGAAAGATTGTTGTGGTGCTTCGGACGAACCTAAATGCAGACTGTAACAAGTCAGGTGTCCATGCCACAACCCCACCTGTTCGGACTCCCCGGCGGCAATGTAGCTGCAGCCACCTTTGACAACTTGATACATGTTGCTTCTCGTGAAGATAAGGATGCTTGTCGAAACTGTGAGACGCACAAGGCTGAGTCATGGATTGACCTCCATGTTCAAATTCTCAAAAACCGGCACGACTCCGACATCCGTAACGCCTAAACAACATAGGGGTTCCGTCTGATGGTCCGGGGTTCAAGATCTAGGAATCTAGGGTTGAGGACTCAGGAACTGAATAGGAGGATGTAGGAGATGGATCTCTTCTTCTCCATCGTTTCACGCAATGCTGTGGACGGCACAGGGCTCGGCAAGCACGGGAACATAGGAGACCTGCGACAGCATCTTACCACCGATGGCCTTGACCTCCCGTCCATCTTTCAACCAAATCCCCACTGTGAACTGCTGCCTCGACTACTGCTTCTCCTTCGCGGGCTGCAGCTGCGATGGTGACGCTAGACGAGCACGACTACGACTGGGAGGACCAGCTGCAAGTGCAAGCATTCAGTTTTCGTCCAGTATCACTGCAAGTAATTACCGTGAGTCCGCCACGAACAACCGAACTTCCCACACCTCGGAGACCAGCGTGGGCCGCGGAAACTCTATGGGCGGTGCCTGTGCAGCGGCAGCTTGCGAATTCTGCCGTGAAGGCTGCAAGGGAGCTATAGGCGACCAGGTTGCTGGTGCTGTGATGATAAGCAGGGCTTACCACGAAGACTCGATTAGCATCTAGTTCTGGAGATCGTTGAAGTGTAAACGAGCCAGGGAACACGCGCCAAGGAGAACATTCTGGCACGGCTCTGCCAATGCGACCGATACAAATTGTTGCAGAACGTATCTATACCTCCTTCATCCATCTGTCTCTCTCTCTCTCTCTCTCCTCTCTCTCTCTCTCTCTCTCTCTCTCTCTCT